CGGAGGTGTGTGTTCCGCGGCGTGTTTTATTTTTGTGTTTTAGACATGTAGTCGGTAGGAGTGCGAGAGTGCTGCTCGTGATGTGAGGCGCGTGTTTGAGCGCTGTGCGCTGTGCGCAGACGGCAGAAGATGGGCGAGAGGATGACTTCTCACGCGGACTAGAGGTGCTGCGTGTGTGGTTTAGGCGAGTGGGTGACACCGGTTGTAAAGCGTGCAGATTCGCCGGTTGCCTGGTTCCTCCGGTGCGCGGTAGAATAGTGTCGCGTAAGAAGCCGGGTGAATGTGCGGCCGGGTGTAATGATCGTGCGTTGGATAGTGAGAAGAACGCAGTGCGTGGCGGCGCAGCGTTGCGCGCGTTTGGAGGCGTAGCGCGCAGCTGGCGGGGATTTGCAGAAATGGGGATTTGGATTGGCTGATGCCAAGCATCGAGCCTCAAAAGTTGAACATTGTTCAACCAACTTGGTGACGGCTGATAGGAGAGCGAGAGCGCGAGCGCGAGCGCGCGAATGCGTGCGCGTAAAGCGCGCGACCCCATTCAAGAGGATGGCGAGCGTGAGAGTCGGATGGCCTGTCAGTGTGAGGACGGGGAAGCGCGAGGGGTTCGCAACACAAGATCTTTTTTAGATAGCGAACATATAAACTGATGCATTCTTGGTACACTTTGAGAAAGAAGAATAAAGAGATGCGCGCGCGCGTGAGAGAGTTTTAGCAGTGTTGTTTTTCACTTTGTTCTGACAGCTGAACTTGCTGCTTTAAATTGGTGGGGGTTAGAGCGTGCGCGTGTGTTCTGAGCGATCATCAAGAGCCGTGGGGCGCGAGCATTGTTTATCTGAAGTTGTACGCGCGAGAGAGAGAGAGAGTAGTTCTACCGCAAAGGGTATTCTCCATGGACTTCCGGCAACATCTTGGATTCTGAGTTGGCCACTGAAGAACCCGAAAAAAAAATCAGCAAAGATGTTGTATTGGAGAAGATGATCACTACCGTGACAGAAGTTTTCGTAAACGTTATTGGCGCTCTGGGTACTGCGCGAGAAAGAAAAGCGCGCCACTCGACACATCTGCGGACCCAACTTGAACGGGTCCGGGTCGTGACCCGACCAGTTGGAGCGAGCGCGAGCGCGTTACAAGCCTCTGGCGCGCAGTGGGCGAGGACCGAGGAAATTGTGCGCGAGAGAGGTGATAAAGAGCGCGTCTGCTGGACGAGAGAAGAGAATGTTGACGGCTATGCTATGTTTCAAATATTGGTTTTTCACTCCCCTTTGACAGACTACGGCGAGCAGATCCGACTGCCCCAGGTGATTTCAGGACCACAAAATGATGCAGACTTTGAAGAGAAGGTCAAACAGTGAGCTGAGCACAGCCTTTTGTTACGTCGCAGGCTTTTTCTGTGCTTGCTCCACTTTTTGAAAGATTGATTCGCAGTAGCACGGTAGTCGGATAATACGCGGGGGTATATTGCTTCTTCTTTGCACAGCATGAAGAAAGGCAAAAGAATGGGCTGTGATTTTATTTTTTTAAGCAGAGGTTGAGTTCAATAATTTGTACGGCCCTCGGAGGATTTTGTAAAAATGTAAATGGCCCTTGAGAAGAAAAAGATTCCCCACCCCTGCTGTAAATATTAATAAATACCCTTGATTTATAACGTAACATCTCTGTCTCCTATTGATCCGAGTATATTATAAAGAATAGCCAGTTAATTGAAGCATTATAGCACAGGCCTTTGTCAGATGGTATATTACGCTGTTTTTTTCTGCTTCTAACAGTTCTCTCTTTTTTCACCATACGTGTGTTTGCATCCCTGATAGATAGATAGATAGATAGATAGATAGATAGAGATATATTTATTATTTAAAGCGCAATCTCGGTTATGAAGTGACAAAGCACCTTTTTGTTGTTGATCCATTTCATCTATTTTACTGCTCCTAGTACTAGACTCCTGGTACTAGGATGGGTTAAATGCAGAGAACAAATGTCACTGTGTGCTCTGCATGTGTGACCATTAAAGAGGGTTTCATCCCTCCCAATTCTTCTTCTATTATGTGCTAAAGGCAAAACTATTAGGATTCTCCCCAATAAATGTATTGAAAGATGGCATTGAGCCAGTCTTTAGGGAAAATGAACTTTGTGTTGAAGCTACTGAAGTGACCAAGATGCTAAATCTCTGGCAGGCTTTCTGTTTTGTAGATAACCCTGTATTGTTTATGTATGTGTTTTAAAAGCATATTGTTTACATAAGAGCTTTTTTATTATCAAGTCACCAGGAGTGTGAGCCAGCCTCTGTTACTCATCATGCTCCTTCTTCTTTTGCAGCTGATTGACATCACAGGCAAGGACCAGGATGAGTCTATGATCGCACTGCACGACTGCAACGGGGATGTCAACAGAGCCATTAATGTGTTGCTGGAGGGTAGCCCAGACACTGTGAGTATTGGCTTTGTATGAAGGCGAAATCAGTGCTACTCTGGGTTAGATATGAACCCAATTGAAATAGAAATGATTCGCAACAGTCTTTAATGGCCAGCTCCTTAAATGTTCACTGTATGAATTTGCCTTGCAACATAAGTACAGCATGTCACAACTTTATAAACTCACAAAATTGAATACAAGCTTTGAAATAAGTGTAACCAGTAGAACATGAGGGGGAAATCAAACTTGGAAATGTCTTTTGCCAGCACATAAATCAGACCTGATAAGCGGTTGCCGGCTACCTTGATTGTTAAGATGCTGGCTCAGTGGAGAGACTTTATAATGAATTAGTTCAAAAATTGCTCTCTCAGAAATTACAGACAAGCAGTAAAACGTTAGCAGTATTGTTGTAGAATTAGTTTTCACTTGGTGATTTTCTTAAAATACTACCAAACTCTGAAGTAGTATACTCATGGTGAGAAAAAGTACCATAGGCAAATGTTATAGCCAGTTGTCTTGCTGGCCTGACCATACTGACAACCAGGCAGCACTCAACATCGAACCTGTTGGTTTATGAAAACATTTCTTTTAGTTTTCATATTTTGGCTGGGTACAATGTCAGATTGTTATGGCAACAGTCAGTACAATGTCAATGAGTCCAGCAGTGTAACACTGTTTTTTTTTTCTTCTCCAAGGACTCTTGGGAAATGGTGGGGAAGAAGAAAGGGGTGTCAGGCCAGAAGGAGACGAGCCAGGCAGAGATCGGAGAGGAAGGGAAAGAGAACAGGGAGAAAGGAGGAGATAAGGATGCAGCACGTCGTCGCGGTGGAGCTCCACGCAGGGCCCGTGGAGCCAGCAGGGGACGAGAGTGTACGTTTTCATTATCACCTGTATTTGCAGTGAATAAGCAGTAGAAAGTGTTTGTTTTGCATCAACAGTATCTTCTAAAATTGTGGGAGAAGTGTGTTCTTTCTGTTTGATGAAGTTAGGATTAGAAAGACTGCACAGCTGCGACAAAATTACTGGAAAAACAAAACCCTTTTACAGCTTAATGAAAGTACTTCAAACAAATCAAAGTAGTACAAAAACACATCTTGATTGCCTTCAATATGCCATTAGTAATTTGGAGCACAAAATTAGACTCTTATTATCCCAAAGTGTGGTCCCAAAGGATGGACAGTGTGTGCCACGGTATATGATGCCAGTAAGAGATTTATCATTTATCTTCATTTTTGAATTAAGGGTGCCTTTGCCCTCCTGCCTCTTTTGTATGCAGTTAACTCTAAGTTTTAACACATTTGAGTTTAAATTATTATTTTGTCATCTTTATGCAGTGTAGTATGAAAATCTTACGCTGCTTTCTCTTAACTCGGAAGTTCGTGGTCAAGAAAATGGCTTGGAGGGAGCCAAGGCTGGAGTAGTGGGAAGAGGTGCCGAGCGAGGCCGACGGGGAAGAGGCAGAGGAAGAGGGACTGTCGGTAAGTGGTTATAATCCTCCTTGGACAAACTTTTATTTAACTCGTACAGCAGCCATTCTTTCTTAAGGCAATAGTAAGTCAAGCTAAGAAACTAAAGTAATCTCTTTTGTTCTTCCCAGGGGTATCTGGACGGCGGGGAGGCAGATTTTCTGCGCAGGGCATGGGGTAAGAGAACACCTGCGTTGCCTTAAAACTAAGGGCCTTTTGTTACGCTTTTACCTGTTGCCATGGTCACCAGAGAGCAGGACTAACCCCTGCCTATTGTTTTGCCTTAATCCAAAGAAAGGAGAATATACATCAGCCAATGGGACAGAACAGCAGGGGCTGAATAATTCTTTTCAGAGTTCACAACATCTAAATATTTTATTTTGAATGAAACTTTGATATATTTACAAAGAGGGTGTCTTTGCTCTCTGGCCCGAGGCTGCAGCATAATTCATGTATTATGCTTGTTTCGTGTGTTTGTGTGTGCAATTATTAATGGGTCTGTTGATGACTTAGCAGCTCTACTAAGAGGTGTCATAACAGTGCAAGTGCTTCTCTCGACTGTTATGACATTCTTGCCATGTTTCATGGGGTCCCATTTTAATCGTCAACACATTTCCTGCTAGCGATTAGATGTAGTTAGGTGTGTTGTGATGTTACTCTGCAGTTATAGATCTTAAAATCGTCTTGGTCTGCTGAAGTAGCATGTGTGACATAATGTGGCTTTCTCTAATGAGGTCAACACCCTGAGTGGCTTTTTGCTAGTACAATGTATTGAATATGTTCTTCAAAAATACACCTATATTTGAACACCGGCTCAGAATGAGTGAGTGACCTGGTGAATTTCACAGAAGTGATGGTGCACACAATAAATATTAACAGAATCATGTTCAATTGTTCAATGTTTCAATGCTGCTATGAAAATGTCCTATAATTTGCAGTTGATTTGTGGAGTGTGGACCCAGATATTGACTTTCCTATCTCAAGGAACACAACAATAAGCTTTGTTTCATATTGGTTTATAAGCTATGCTTATCGTTGGTGAGCTGAGTGCTCGGGCTTCCCACCTGAAGTCGCATGCAGTGCTAGCTAAAGCGTTTTCGTGTTACCTCACGCCACACACACTTTTATTATTGCTTCTGCTTCTTTGCTGCTAACAGTTTACCAGCTTGGCTTCAGTGTCAGTCAAAAACTGTGACTTAAATGAACCATAGTTTTAAAGCAGATAAGCTCTTTTATCAGTGATGGGAGGATTGTGGGCAGTTTTTCCTTTTGTGGGTGTATTCCTGTTACCTTGTGCTAGGTCATTTAAAATGATGCTATGGCAGCGTCTACCAATCACCTCACATGCACATATTCTGCTTACAAATGTTGGCATGCACTAAATCAAAATAAACGAATACTGTGAGCTCACAATGGAAACTGCACTTCATCATCATAACTGATGAACAAGCTGACCAAGGAGATTTGTTCTATAGTTTGTATAAAACTTAAATGACTATGATGTTAGGGTGGATCTTGATAAATGAGTTCAAAAGTATCAACAAATGTTGGTTTCGAGGCAAACATAGCAGATTATATTGTTATTATTTCCATATTAACAACACATTGTAGAGGCAGGACACCCGCATGATGCAAATAATCTCAGACTCACTTAAAATAGAGGTATGAGGAGATACTTGATCAGTAGTTGCCTGATACCTGGGTCATCAAGCATAACCAGTGAGGGTAAATTATTACGACTTCCCTAATAAAGGCAACATGTAAAGGCACTGTAAACCAAAATTACATTTTTGGGTTTTTCATAATGGATTCACATGGTTTGTGAAACAATCATGATTCAAGAATCTCAGACACGATCCTTTTTGTTGATATAGAGGATAGTCTATCTTTGAAAATGCCCCGGTTTGACAACACTGTTTGTCTTTCAGTGTTTGGTGAATGCCTAATAGAAACATCACTTTTTGCCTTTTTTTGTTTTTTATTTAAAACCTTGTGGGGGTATTTTGTCTGTTTATGAATACATATATAGTTTTGGCTCATTACTTGAATCAAATCATGGCTCAATTAAGAGTTTTGAATTTAATTATTGCCTTTTTGTATTGTATTTGTGTAGGCCACTGCAGCATGTAACATGGCTGCATATATTAACCCCCTCCATTGCTGATGTTGCCTGGTGTAGGAGATGCATTCATTATGTAGCCACTTGTTGTACTTGTACCACAGCATTGGTTGGTACATTTACAGCACTGCCTCTTTGGTTAGTCTTAGCTGCCTTTGTATTTGAATTCTCTAGTGTCAGAAAATAAACTGGGGAAAGAGTGGGGAGTGTTGTTTCTATAGACGCCTATCCAAGTTGGCATATACAATGCCCTGATAGTGTATATACATTTACCCCTGATGTTAAAAACTATAGTAAAAGTATAGTTTTGCTCTGGTGGAGACTGAGCTGTTTGTTTGAATTGAAGCTGGTCTGGGTTTATGTGTTTTTAGGGCTGCACGATATTAAAAAACACTGGCATTGCAATATTTTTCCTGCGATTTGAAAAATAATAATGAATAATTAAAAAGAATACAGATTTTTGTTTTTTTAACCAAACAACATGTTCCTGTTTTTGGATTACCGTAATTTTCGGATTATAAGCCGCGCCTTTTTCCCTATTTTTCGACGCTGCGGCTTATATAACGGTGCGGCTAATCTATGGATTTTTACAGCTAACGGCCAACACCTTTAACTCTATGGGCTCTATGGCCGGTCCGCGGACCCCCAGCTTTAAGCGGCGGGTTCCAGCAGGAAAAGCTGGAGGCCGGAAAAGAGTGAGACAGGTAGCGCGCAAAAGTAAAAGTGGAACTGAGTGGTATGCCGCTGCTGCGGCTTATATTCAGGTGCGGCTTATAGTCCGAAAATTACGGTACATGGTTTGCTCGACCCTTTTTAGGAAGTGGTCGACGACTAGCGGGGTGTGGTTTTTGCAGTTTCGATAAGTGATTGGTGGTCGCGGTGTGTGCAGAGCCTGCATTTCAGTCACCGGTAAAAAAAAATGTGTATACAGAGTAAATTATGTTTCATTAATCATACTTGTCCTGTAGTTTATTCAATAAAAATGAGAACAGTTCAAGTGTAAACCATTTTTAATCAAGCAGAAAAAAGTTGTAGCATGAAGTGTTTGAGTCAATTTGCCCTACTTGAAACCGTACGTCCTGCGATGTGACTGTTGCGCATGCTCACATCGCATTGTCAATGCAGAACAAATATATCATGCAGCTCTAATGTTTTTCATGCCCATTTTAAAAGGAAAAACAGTAGGATTAAATAAGACTGGTTGACTTGAGGTGCAGGAGATATTTAAGGCCTTCTGATGAATTCACAGCACTCTGTATTGCTGCTCTGGGACAGCTTTGAAATGATGTGTGATAGCAAGGTACCATTACCGTAGATTGAATAGGCATTAACTGCAAAGATGACTGCCTTTAATCTTGCATAACTGCTTATTTAGCAACGTTTTTTGTGTTGGTGGCTGCATTGTGAATACCCTCGGCTTTGGTTTCTTGGACTTTGTATTTACCCACAATGACTAAAACACTCGGGCTTGCCTTGCATTGGAGAATGACTGACGGGTGTAGAGTGTTTGGTACACTGGCAGATCGAAAGCATTCTGCTTACGCTGCTGCTCTCTATTGTGGTCTGAAAACAAAAAGCTTGATCTTCTACTTTTAATTTGTTGTGCTTCTTGTAATTGTTGCCATTATTTTTCCTCTAAAGCCAGATTGATAAGGGGCCCAGATATGATATTGCAGGCGGTGAGAGGTGAGTGAATCGCCTCTGGTGTGTCTGTTATTCTTGTTTTCTGTAGGGAGACTTTCGAGTGCCATACAACAGGAAGTCGTAATATAAGAGCTTATCAAAACAGATACTCCTCATTCTATTAATAGGATATGACCTTCCTGAAATGTAGATGTTTAATCTCGCAAGCCATAAATGCCCTCAGACAAAGGAAGGATCTTAGACAAATAATGAAAGGCTTTAGTTAAAAGAAAAAGTCCTGTACTCCATCATGTTGCATAAGCTGTATATTTATCAACATACACAAACGTGACGGATTAATAAGACATTACCAGGAAAGAGTTGTCGAGGAACTACGAAAGCAGTATTTAGATGCTCATACATCTTTATTTGCATTTACAAACTCTCAAAGACAGTAATGGTTTCACTTGAGTGTCTTATCATTTCCTCTTCCTGCTACATCCCCAGTCACTCCCCTCTGAAGTATTTCTATGAGCTAATAGCCTAATGATGATAAGAGCAGTGCGGGAGATGTATTCAAACAGTTCTATATGCAGGCACAAAACTAATGAGCTCGGAGTTTTAAAGCTCTAAATATTGAATAGGGGTCTGCTTCTGCTTAACATTTTCAAAACTTAAACCTGTAGAAGGTAAGTTAAAAAATGGACCCCTGATTTATCATATAGGCACCCAGATATGGCCGAAGTTTTCTTTGTAGTGCTGACGGACCTTCAGCTGTTGGTCTGTACACACACTTGATTTCCAATAAGCCCTTTTTATCGCTCTCTTCCGCAGTACATTCAACCCTGCTGACTACGCGGAGCCAGCCCAGACAGATGAAAACTACGGCGGAGGCAGCACCTGGAATAACACAGGAAGTGGGGAGCTTGAGGAGGAAGCTAGTAAGTTCATTTATAGATTAAGATAAAGATAGCCTCCAAAAAGAGAAGTTCATCTTATCAATGAAGCATCTGATTACTACTTTGAAAATCCTATCGGCATCCAAATGAAACGCGTGCGGTTAAGATGAGAGGAAGGTTCACTTGCATTCAAAGGACACTTACTCTTTGATGCTGGGCACTAAAGCTTAATCAACCATGCACGCTGTTTACAAAAACTTCAAATCCTGGAAACATTGTAATCCTCTTAGATCTTTACGTTCATATCAATGTGTGTCCAAGTGTATTCATGCCTCTTTGTAAAATGTAACTTTGATCTGTCTTTTTCTCTAGGGTCGGAATACGCTCCAGCAGAGGGAACACATTTCCCGCCCAAGTTTGACTCTGCTCCTGGTAAACCCATCTTCACACTTCTGGGTTGTTTGTATGCATCCCTCATTCTGTTTGAATATCTCTTTGCCTATCTGCGCAGTATTGAAACCGTTCCTCTCTGAATCACAGGCGCCTGGCGGGCGGCCACTGAGGAGTGGGGCACTGAGGACTGGAATGAAGATGTGAGTGTTTCTGGGCTAAACCGCATGACACGGTTTTAGCTCAAAATGTAATAAATAAAAACCTCTAAACACAAATCAGAAGAGTTAAATGTTGTTTCAGTCACGGAACAATGGATTGAGATATGTTTGGTTTTTCCAACTATAATATCTTCTAATTTTTCTGCAGCTTTCCGAGACGAAGATATTCACAGCTTCCAGCGTGGTGTCTGTGCCACCGCCTCAAGAGAATGTTACCATCACCAAAGGACAGAGGTGGGTCCCGTACACACTTTTATGACTTAGTTATGATTTACAGGAATCATAAAGAGAATAGTTTATTTGCTTGCTTTCACTGTTTACTTGTTCCAAAAAAAAGTGGTTGGAGCCCTAGTGAAAATAAAGGTCTAGTTTAGAGGGATCAAATGGAATTAAGGACGCACCGATCCTATACTTGTTTTGTTTAAAGAATGGCCAAAACTTGTACCATTCATTAGCCTTCCCTGTACCACTATTGTTGCGTAACAAAATCATATTGTGAGCTGTGTATTCTGCTGGGTCAATAGCATATCTGTTTTACAGTTTGGGCATGATGTTTTTTTAGATGTCTAGGCCGAACAAAGTCCTTTCTTTCAAATGTAATATTAACCGCTTAGTTGTTTAAGGGAGGGAAAAATACTTTCTCATTGTTATTAACTGATCCTCAAGGTTGTTATCCAGCCATCCCTCATTTAACCTGTTAAGCCCCAAAGACCCCGCCGGCGTGGCCTTTTTTTTTTTTACGACATTGTGTCTCAGGGCTTCTTAAAATGTAATAAACTATTAATGTGTCATACTCACTTAACGGGAAGAAACTCAGCTAACTGATTATATGAACCATTTTTACCGAAACAAAACACAAGTCTCACAAGAAGCATCTAAATGAACCCGGAGTGAAAAAATGCTAACGCACTTAGCACAGAACTCTAGGTATAAATCGATCGATATATTTATCGGATCACAAACAAGCGTAGCTAGCAAGCTGAGATTCCACAGATTCTAGAAGTATAAGTATCAGAACTCGCGACAGGGGAAGCAAATACAGACAACACACAACGTAGCTTTAGGTAGCAAGATATGCTCACCTTAGCTGTTGTTCTGATCAAAAGTTGTGTTCAATGGCATTAAAACGAGGAAAATGCAGCTGAAGGTTAATCCATAGGTTAATCCAATCTGTCTGTCACTTTGAAAAAATCCATAATTCCATTTTTATGTCAAAAACTGAGTTTTCATATTGGCTGCTAATGATAGCTTCCAGAGTGTATGACAGCTTCCTGTTTTGGCTACGCGTCACTCTCACTCCTTATTTGGTAACACGTGTGTGTGTATGTGGAACTTCCCCTCGATTCCATTGGTTCTAACGGTTAAAAAGAGATGTCAATCATCAAAATCGACCAAGGGGGGCCAGAGATATGGAAAATGCACCCAAATGACCCCAGAAGTGTTTGTTTTTTTGTTGCTAAATCTCTCTAAAAAGGTCGAATTTCACTTGTTTTGCATCAATCTTGATACAGGGTACTTATTATATGTTATAGTTTGGATTCCTAAAACTTTTAGTCTACCAACCCATCATTCAAGGGTGGTTTTCACCTTAAGTAATCTTTTTTTTGGACGGACACAATCATTTACATTTCTTTTACTCTGTTCAATCTGAATTGACTTTAAGATAAAAAAATAAATCTATATTGATTCTGACTCTTCTACATCCAACTCACAGATTTATCTACTTTGAGAAAAAAGATTATTCATTTACCCCTTTTTAGAAGTGAAGATATGGTCATTTGTTCTGGGAATGTTATTTTTGAGCCTGAGACCTGGAAAACAGGCTCAGGGCTGAACAGGTTAAAATGTCCTCCTTTTTTTAATAAATGTTTTCACCTTTGTTAGGATCGACCTTGCAGTGCTCCTGGGCAAGACTCCCCCGTCCTCCTCCTCAGAGACAGAAAACCCCCCCATGGAGGCCGCCCAGCCCTCCTCCTTGTCCCAGTCAATGGTTTTCAGCAACTCCAAGCAAGGGGTGCCGCTCTCCCAAACATCCTCCAGCACCCCTTACACCCAGCACAGCATGGTGAGAATGACCAACACAGCTTTTTTTTTACATGTGCATCTCAATAAATAATAAATTCAAAAAGTGAAACTCATATATTATATGGATTCATTACACACAGTGAAATATTTCAAGGCTTTATTTCTTTTAATCTTGATGATTACGGCTTACAGCCCCAAAAAACAAAAAACAAAACCAGTATCTCAGAAAATGTTTATATTGTGAAAAAGTTCAATATGGTAGACTCAAAACACCTGCAAAGGTTTCCTGAGCCTTTAAATGGTCTCTCAATCTGGTTCAGTAGGCTTCACAATCATGGGGAAGACTGCTGACCTGACAGTTTTCCAGAATACAGTCATTGACACCCTCCAAAAGGAGGGTAAGCCTCAAAAGGTCATTGCTAAAGAAGCTGGCTGTTAACAGATTGCTGTATAAGTGGAAGGAAAAAGTGTGGTAGGAAAAGGTGCAACAGGGATGACCGCAGACCTGAGAGGATTGTCAAGCAAAAGCCATTCATACATTTGGGAGAGCTTCACAAGGAGTGGACTGAGGCTGGAGTCAGTGCATCAAGAGCCACCACACACAGACGTATCCAGGACATGGGCTACAACTGTCGTATTCCTCGTGTCAAGCAACTCCTGAACCAGAGACTACGTCAGAAGCGTCTTACCTGGGCTAAGGAGAAAAAGAAATGGTCTATGGCTCAGTGGTCCAAAGTCCTCTTTTCAGATGAAAGTAGTAGTTGCATTTCATTTGGAAATTAAGGTCCCCGAGTCTGGAGGAAGAGTGGAGAGGCACACAATCCATGTTGCTTGAAGTCCAGTTTGAAGTTTCCACAGTCAGTGATGATTTGGGGAGCCATGTCATCTGCTGGTGTTGGTCCTCTGTGTTTTCTCAAGTCCAAAGTCAACGCAGCCGTCTACCAGGACATGCTTCCTTCTTCTGACAAGCTTTATGGAGATGCTGATTTCATTTTCCAGCAGGACTTGGCACCTGCCTACACTGCCAAAAGTACTAAGACCTGGTTTAGTGACCACGGAATTACTGTGCTTGATTGGCCAGCAAACTGCCCTGACCTGAACCCTGTAGAGAATCTAAGGGGTATTGTCAAGAGGAAGATGAGACACGAGACCCAACAATGCAGACGAGCTGAAGGCCGCTATCAAAGCACCCTGGGCTTCCATCACACCTCAGCAGAGCCACAGGCTGATCGCCTCCATGCAGTCATTCATGCCAAAGGAGGCGCATTCCATTCATGTAAAAGGAAGCCCACCAAGTAACTGAGTGTCATACACATGAACATACTTTTCAGAAGGCCTGACATTTCTGTATTAAAAATCTCTTTTTTTTTTTAAAATGTTTTTATTCAAATGTTCTGAGATCAGGATTTTTTGGCTTTTCATTAGCTGTAAGCCGTGAATCCATCAAGATTAAAACAATAAAAGGCTTGGCATATTTCTCTTTGTTAATGTAATGAATTCATATAAATACATGAGTTTCAATTTTTGAATTCGAATTTAATAAATAAATTAACGTTTTCCACCATATTCAAAATTTATTGAGATGCAACCTGTACGTTATATTCTGCCTCTAGAAAAATATCTGCAAAAAAAAATCCAAGTTTCATACCTTAACCATTTTCCCGAGCCCAACAGGAAAAGGACACAGCCATTTGAAATCTCTCATGACAAACCATCGTCTTTATCAAGACTTTTTTATTTTATTTGATTGAAATTTGATACTGTTGCAGGTCAGCATGCTGAGCAAGAGTTTCGGGGAGGTAGTGACCCTAAGGAGCCAGCACAGGGACAACCGGCTCTCAGTTCCTGGAGCAATATAAAAACAGCCCAGGCCACTTGCCCAGCTGGCAGCCCAGCACTCCCAAACCGGACACACCCAACACAACCCATTCTTCCCTGGGACACCAGTGGACCCTCACTGGGGACAATACGGTGAGATGACACCCACTGTAATTTACTCCATTCTCTCCTTCGATTTTTTTCGCAAAGTTAAAAGATAATGGCATAGAAAACTGAACTGCTCTACGGGTTTCTCTTACTAACTCTTTCTCCTCTCTCTCACTGTCAGATATGAAGATCAGCCAGAGCAAGCTGTCCATTCGCCCTTCACAAAGCCGGCAGCCCTACCAGACCGGCACCTCGTCCATGTTGGATGTGTTCCTGCAGGACAAAGGGCCTGCCTCCTTCCTCATCGTCTTCTCCCTCGCCCCACGCGGTTGCGCTCCGCCAGCTTCCTCCCTTCCCAAAATGCAGCAATTCCTTCTCTAGGTCAGCAAGTTTCCCCCGAGTTCCTCAGATGCCCATGGTTCAAGTCCTCTACCTTTGCACCAACACAAACTCAAAACAGCAGAAGAAGAGGACTTCATCTCAACCAAAGGTAACACAGCATTACATAGATAATATAATAAAGGTTCCATATGTGAAGTTTATTGATCTAGTAGACAACAACTGTAATATTGCTTTACCTGACTGATAAAGGGGGTAAATGCCTATAGAAAAGCTTTGCTTAAGCATTCTAGGTCTCACTTCATGGATACAGCAACTGAAGACTAGGAGAATGCGAATTCCTGAATAAATTTGCTAGTTGGAATAGTGTTTGCACGTGTGTAGCCGGATACTTGAAAGGTACCGGCGATACTCTGCCGTTAAAAACTTTAAGATTCCTCCGTTTTCATTAGTATCGGTACTTTTAAGAATGACGGGGAAAAATACTGCCGGTGAGAAAGCGGCTGTTTTTAATAAGAGCCGTGTTGGTGTTCAGCGCTCCTGCTTCCCAATGCCTGCACTGCAGCCGTGCCTGCAGTCCCTCCCCTCTCAGCACGCTCTAAGTCCCTCCTCCCCTCTCTCATGCACGCGCTAGCTGCCAGAGCATGTGAGAAAGCAAGAAGCATGGCTGCAAGTGGGAGTGCAAACTGCTGCTGCGCTCGGCTTGTTGACAAAAAAGACGCCAGAAGCGAAAATTTGGAAGGTATTATTAAGCTATATCTCTTAACAGTGAGGGGCAAGCCTACGGACACCACAAGGCCTGTCTGTAGAGAATGTATTAATTTTATTTAATACGTATTCTTGTCATTTATTTAATTTAATGTGTCTCATGCTTAAAAGTTGTTATGGTTTTCTGGTGGTGAAATAAAGCACATAATTACATTTTAAGGACTGCTTCCCTTTTTTTAAGAAAAAGTATCGAAAATAATCGAATCGCAATTCTTGACTGTATCGGACCAAATGTTGGTATCGTGCAACACTTAGAGCTTTGTGCTGAAGTTGACGCTGAAACTTGCTATGCTGAAATGTAATGTGTAAGAAGAAAGCTGAAAAAATAAATTTAGATTGAATGATACATGGAACACTGGGGCTTGAATGTATGGCCATTTTGGAGGGGTGAAGGAGCTGGCCGAGAGGCCATCGGTGGGATGAGAGGGAAAGAAAGTAAAAAGGCTGGAAAAGCAGCTAGAATTTTGCAACTGCAAAACTTTTGAACTAACTTGTAGTGGTGGAAGACAGTTGGTCCGCCAGTAGGCCAAC